CACAGCCTCGGCTGCTCGCAGAAACCAAAGGAAAACAAACCCTCAGGTTAACCCCTTCCTGCCTGGGCTCCGGCCCCAGGAGCAGCCCGGTGCGCAGCGGAGGGCCCTGACCTAGGCCTGGAGTGACCCAACTCTCTAGGCTCTGTTCAGGCCACAGGTCTGCTTCTGCTCCTACCCTATAAGTTCTATCCATAAATGACAGTCAGCCGGCCTTTGGAGCCTTCCCAGAGGTCCAGGAGGCTGGGACACTGGCAAGACAGGTTGGGAGGGCCCCAGGCTAGGCCAAGTTTCATCTCTCAGGCTCTACCTCTTGAAAATCTATGGGTCTCTGTTTCTAACAACCCCCACTTCAGGATTTCTCACTTCCATCTTCCCTGAGAAGGACCCACCAGGTGGGGAGGAGTAGCATGGCCTAGACAGAGAAGTCTCCCAGACCCCACTGAGGTCAGCTATAGGGACTCACTGTGGGGTTGCCCAAGACTCAGTTTCTCCCTATGTTGGGACCTCCTATCTCTGGGCTCCTGGGACAAATGGGCTTATGGGGACAGAAACAGTTCTTCCTGGAAGTTGGCATTGGGAGTTAGGGTCCTATGGATCTCTGCTTGCCTGCCACTCATTTCACTCATTACTTTCTTACCAGACTTGGAAAGTGGAGGGGCTGCCATGATGATAAACTGGAAGTGGCTGGCAAGCAAGTGGCAGAGGGGTAGGATGGGCAGGAGGGTTGCCCAAGGGATGGTGAGGCTCCTAGAATTTTTAAGTAATAAGATGGCAACAGTGTGCCCCCCCCCCCCCAAATTTTTGTTCGGCAACATACAAATGCATAGATCTATGAAGACAGAGGAGCCTGAGGGGGCAGTCAGTTCTAGAAGCCTGGGATAGTCTTATTTCAGACATTCCAGAGAAAGAAGCAGAGGCATGGGGATAGATGTACACAGAGGGAGACAGATACACAGATACAGAGAAAAAGCTATACAAGAGAATAGGGATGGGGGCATGTGGGTGGCTCAGTCAGTTAAGCCTCAGACTCTTGATCTCAGCTCAGCTCTTGATTTCAGGGTCGTGAGTTCAAGGCCTGTGTTGGGCTCACACTGGGCATGGAGCCTACTTAAAAAACAAAACAAAACAAAACCCCCCAAAATAAGAGAGTAAGGATAGAGATACATTTACATAGGCAGGGAGAGGCAAAGACACAAAGAGGGAAAGAATCTGGCACAAACACAAGCTCAGGAAATAACAGACTTTGTGAGGTGGATGATTAACACTGTTTCCAAAGTCTGGCAAGGTGGGGGTGGTTTCTCGCCTTTGGTGTCAGAGAGCTGCTGCTCACATTTCTCTAAGGCTCATGCTGCTTTTGTCTGTTGGTAGGAGAGCAGGGGAAGGTTGGGAAGGGGGTAGCATCCTTGTTCTCTCACTTTTTCCTGTTCTAGGGTTTGCTGGTCTCCTTCTTTACCACCTGTAGGGAGACCTTGCTTCTTCCTGATCTCAGGCATGGCTGTGCTGAGGCGTACAGGAGGTGGGAGGAATCCAGAAGGCAATTAGCCTTATGGAGTTTCCAGTTTATAAATAAATATAAACTAACCTTATAGTTAGGACACAGAAATATACCGAGATGGAGGACAAGAACAAAACGAGGGGGCGCCTGAGTGGCTCAGTTGTTGGGCGTCTGCCTTCGGCTCAGGTCATGATCCCAGGGTCGTGGGATGGAGCCCCGCATCCGGCTCCCTGCTCAGCGGGGAGCCTGCTTCTCCCTCTCCCTCTGCTGCTCCCCCTGCTTGTGCTCTCTCTCTGTCAAATAAATAAATAAAATCTTAAAAAAAAACCCAAAAAAACAAAAATAGGAGTGGGACAGCTCTGGACATTGATTTGGGTTAGGGAGTTGGGAGGGAATGGACTATTAGGTGCAGCCATGGGGTTAGGAATGTTCAGGGAAGTATTTGAGGGGAAGGATTGGGAAGGGTGGGAGATTATAGGGCTGGGTGGACTGCATGGCAGAGGAGGGAGAGAAGTCAAATGTGAAAGCCATGGAGACAAAGGCGTGGGCAGTAATGGGAGATGAAAGAGTCTCAAAGCCATTACTAAAGAGTTGTTAGGGGACGCCTGGGTGGCTCAGTTGGTTAAGCAACTGCCTTCGGCTCAGGTCATGATCCTGGAGTCCCGGGATCGAGTCCCACATCCGGCTCCCTGCTCGGCAGGCAGTCTGCTTCTCCCTCTGACCCTCCCCCCTCTCATGCTCTCTCTCTCTCTCTCAAATAAATAAATAAAAATATTAAAAAAAAAAAAAAAGAGTTGTTAGGAGATTCCAGAAGTGCCTCTGTGGATGTTCTAGATATAGTCCTTGGAGGGCTGCAAAGGAGGGATCTCTTATCCTTGGGGCAGCAAGAGGACTAGAAATGGTCTTTTAGCCATTGTTAATACTCTCAGGTGAGTTTCGAGATTGGGGATGGTTGAAGTTCCTTGATTCGCAATCCTGTTTGGAAAAGCCTTGTCGATGAATTTTTGGAAGGGTGTTGCCCTTTAGAGCTAGAAGCCAGGACCTCCGCGGTCCTTACTAAGCCCGGCCTCTTAAAGCTTGCTTGCTTTTTACCCCGATGTAAGGGTTAAACTACAATCCCCAGAGTCACTTAGGGTTAATTTAACACGCCTTCCGGGGATTTGAGTATTTCCGGCGGAAGTTGCCGCGGCAACGCCAATCTCTTTCCCTAAACAAAGTAGACTACGACTCCCACTGTCCTCCGCGCCCGGGGGTGGGGAAGGGAACCGGAAACCGGATGGAGCGCTGAACCAGGTGAGGAAGTAGGAGCCTGGGAACCTGGGGTCTTGAGGGGCAGGGTTGGGGCTCTCAGGGTTGTGGGGCGGCGTGGGGCAGGGAGTAGGAATGTTTATGCTTTGGGGACCCTTGCTCTGTTTGGGGCTTGCGCCGGCAGAGGAAGAGTCGAGCCCACGGAATCGGCCCGGGGAGCCTGCGGGGACGTGGTTTTCCCGTTGGGCGGAGCCCGAGGGCGGACAGGGAGATTTTCTTACGGACCCTTAGCCGGCGGCCCTCTCAGAACCAGTAGAAGGGATAAGTGGTGTTTTTGAGTCCATGTCCTACCACTACTACTGTTAGTCTAAGGATTTGCTGATTGTCCCTGTAGATTCTTGGAGTGCCTCCAAGGGATAGGGGAATGGATAGTGTCTTTGATTCCTTCTTCACTATCAGGATTTAGTGTCAGAGAACCTAGATGGCCAGACTTATTGCTGGATCACCCTCCGCTTCCTTTGCACTTAGTATGACACTGTAATTTATAATGTATCTACGTTTCTTTCTTTTTTAAAATTTATTTATTTATTTGAGAGAGAGCACAAGCAGGGGAAGGGGCAGAGGGAGAGAGGAGCAGACTCCCCACTGAGCAGGGAGCCCGATGCGGGGCCCGATGCGGGGCCCGGTCCCAGGACCCCAGGATCATTACCTGAGCCGAAAGCAGGCGCTTAACCGACTGAGCCACCCACGCATCCCTGTATCTGCGTTTCTTAAGTCTGGTTCTTGGTGGCTTTAGAAAGGACTTTCAAGTTCCTCCTTTGGGTTCTCATAGTGTATTGCTTAGGATGTTAAAGCTCAAACCACAGTGTATTATAGTTGTTTATCTGTCCTCTCTCAGTAGTTTATGAGCCAGGCCTGCATTTTATTCATTTTGGATTTCTTCCTCGTCCAGAGACGACCACAGTGCCTATCATGGAAGAGACTCATAAGTATTGAAAAGAATAAATGAGTTAACAGTTGATGGTAGGTTGGATGGAATTTGTGGTTTTCATTTCATAGAGAGGAGAGTTAAATGATTTGCTTAAGAGAAACTTGGAGACAAAACCAGGATTAGAAGTGGATTTAGACACCCAGACTGTGTCTCTTGCTATCAGATTAGGTTTGAAACTGGAACGCTGCGAATAAAGCCTTGTCATTCTTTTTTTGTACCCTGCAGCCTTGCTGTCTTCAGCACAGGTCTCTAAAGATCAAAGGTAGGCTCAGCCTAAGACTTGAGAGAGATCCCAGAGCTGGAGCAGCCAGTCCACTAACATTGGCACTACATGGGGATGTGCAAAGCAAGGGCCCCGGAGGTAATTTGAGTTCTCCACGGCTCCCTTCTTGGCTTTTGTTTGAGCCCAGTTGGCCCTGGTTAGCCATCTGGACAAAGCAGTAAAAGACTACTGAGATCAGTCTGGAGAAGGGTTTCTTAAGTTTGGCCCTGACTTTTTTTCTCTCCCACTTGCCCTAGGCTAGGGTCCGAGAACAGGTTGATGGATCAAGCTGTTCTGTCAACCCTGAGGTCCCATGAAGGAGAAGAACCCTGGTCCCTGCCCCATGGGAGGCCCAGACATGATGGAAACACACCCAGAGGCTGGCAAACCCTCAGAAACAATTGGAGTGCAAAGTGGGCAGCTGAGCCTTGAGTGAACTCCGGCTGTAGAAATGGAGAGGAGTCCATCGGGAAAGACTCCTTGGTAGAAGGTCGTTTTAAAGAGGATTGAGAAAGGTAGGATGGACAGAGTCTAGTGGGTGTTTGTTGACTACCTAATTAAAGCTAGGACCTTAAAGATACAGAGGGAAGTTGAACAGGACCTGGCTTCTGATCTGCTCAAGTCTAGGTAGGGAGGCAAGGTGTGAATTGGGGAAGAAGCCACTAACCGTGGTGACATGCAGCGGTTTGAGCCTTCATCAACCATTGGAATCACCTGAGGAATCTTGTTTAAAATACAGATTCCCAGGGGCGCCTGGGTGGCTCAGTCGTTAAGCGTCTGCCTTTGGCTCAGGTTATGATCCCAGGGTCCTGGGATCGAGCCCCGCATCGGGCTCCCTGCT